TGGCTCAAGGCAGAAATCATACGACCTTCTTCTTCAAATTTTGCAAGCCGTATCGTCGTTGTGAAGAAAAAGGATGGAAGCAACAGAGTTTGTGTCGATTTTCGCAAGCTTAATCAAATGGTTCTGAAGGACTGTTTTCTGGTTCCCATCATTGATGACGTTTTGGAAAAGCTGCAGAAGGCGCGGTACTTCACTTCAATGGATTTACAGAACGGTTTTTTCCACGTCTTGGTCGAGGAAAACAGCAAGAAGTATACTCCATTTGTTACTAAGGATGGTCTCTATGAATTCAACAGAGCACCTTTTGGCTTTTGTAATTCACCGGCTGTTTTCATACGATTTGTAAACCACGTGTTCCAAGGTTTACTAAGCGAAGATGTGATGGATTTATATATGGACGACATAATAATACACGCAGAGTCGCCGGAAGAGTGTCTCAGCAAGATGAAAAGAGTATTTGACACTGCAGCTGCAAACGCCTTACAAATAAATTGGAGAAAATGCCGTTTTCTGCAAACATCGATTAATTTCCTGGGACACACAGTTGAAGAGGGACGAATTAAGCCGGGCAAGGAGAAGGCAGATGCCGTCAGCAAGTTTCCAGTGCCGAAAAATATCAGAGGAGTATAATCATTTCTCGGTCTGACAGGATTTTTTCGCAGATTCATACGGAAGTACTCTCAGATAGCAAAACCGCTCACAGATTTGTTGCGAAAAAGTGTACATTTCAAAATGGGACCTGACGAGTTGCTAGCTTTTCGTAACTTAAAAGAGGCCCTCATAGAAGAACCAATAATGCGACTGTACAACAGAGAGGCAAAAACGGAATTGCATACCGATGCATCGAAGGACGGCTTTGCAGCGGCTTTAATGCAATGGTTTGATGGTCAATTGCACCTTGTTTCATTCTGGAGTAAGAAGTCATCGGATGCAGAGTCTCGCAAGCATAGCTACATACAGGAGGCGAAGGAAATATATCTAGCAGTTAAGAAGTATCGCCATTATTTACTTGGCGTGTCGTTCAAGCTGGTTACGGACTGCGCCGCATTTAAACAGACCCTTAACAAAAACGATGTACCACGAGACGTTGCTCAATGGGTCGTATATTTGCAAGATTTTCAATTCAACGTAGAACACCGTGCAGGAGAGCGACTGAAGCATGTAGACTGTCTTAGCCGCTACCCACTGCAAGTCATGATGGTATCTTCGGAGTTAACAGCACGCATAAGGGCGTCGCAGCAGAAGGATCCTATGGTCAAGGCGATCTATGATATTCTCTCCATCCGTCCCTATGAGAACTTCAAAATAAAAGGCAGTTTGTTATTTAAAGTAGCGAATGGAGTTGATGTACTGGTGGTGCCAAAACTGATGGAAAAGGAGATCATACTGAACGCGCATAACATTGGACATTTTGCTGCACAAAAGACAATGCATACAATCCAGCAGACTTACTGGATCCCTCACCTGGAGAACAAAGTTGCACATGTTATAAATAATTGCGTACAGTGCATTGTGCACAACAAAAAGGTTGGCAAGAAAGAAGGTTTCCTTCATGTTATAGAAAAAGTCGTACTCCCGTTACATCATCATCATCTTGGCCCAATGGACTCCACTGCGAAGCAGTACAAGTATATATTTGCCATGGTGGATGGGTTTACCAAATTCGTATGGTTATACCCGACCAAAACAACAACAAGCGAAGAAGTGGTTAAGAAGCTTAGCGAATGGGCCGCAGTATTCGGAAATCCAATCCGTACAATCACAGCGGACGCATTTAAGCAGTATGCTGATTCAAATACTATCGGCCACGTTTGGAGTACCACAGGAGTTCCCCGCGGAAACGGTCAGATAGAACGAGTAAACCGTTCCGAGCTGGCAATTATATCGAAGTTGTCCTCGGAGCAACCAGCCAAATGGTTCAAATACGTGCCGATAGTCCAAAAATCCATAAACTCCACAGTCCACGTTGCTACTAAAAGATCACCTTTTGAGATAATGTTTGGCGTAAAGATGCACAACTCTGCAGATAACCGAATTGTGGAAATGCTCGAAGAAGAAATGGTTGCTAATTTTGACAACGAAAGGCAATTATTACGACAAGCTGCGAAAAAATTATAAAAAACAGTACCATAAGAAGCGTAAAAGCGAATACGGATACCATATCGGCGATTTGGTGGCAATCCGTCGTACGCAATTTGTAGCAGGAAGGAAGTTGGCGAGCGAGTACCTTGGCCCATATGAGGTAACAAAAGTTAAAAGAAACGGGCGCTACGAGGTGCGAAAAGCAGCAAATGTTGAAGGACCAATAAGCACGGCCACAAGCTCTGATAACATGAAGCTTTGGAGGTATGCGGTGAACAACGAGGACCCATGGTCATCGGGGACCGATGACTAGTGCAGGATGGCCGAGTGTAAGATAGGCAGATGGGCAGTGGTGATATTGGCAAAGCGCACACAGGAGAATGGCATAGTAGAAGAGGAAGATCGACATCAGTAGTGAGTTGTCAGCCGTCGTCGGAAGGAGTCAGTTGTAAACGGTCGTTTCAAGCAGTCAGTCATCAACCGTCATATAAGCAGTCAGTAGTCAGCCGTCATAAGTAGTCGTGAGAAGTCGTAGTGCCGTTGTACAGCCGTACGCAGTTTTCTTGTATCCACCGTTGTTCGCAACAAATTTATGTAAGGTGAGAACAGATGAGGTTGCATGCCAAATTCTTTAATGTACAGAGGTGTAATGTACACACAATAAGACAAGTATAATGTACAACCATACACATTCTATGGGCTGACGTTGTTGGGGGAGAGGGTCGGTGCGGGATACCTTGACTGCGGCTAGAAAAACAGCCTGTGGGAGGGTTCTTGACCGTACACTCCATCAACACCCATAATACATAATTAATTTATAGAGATCCCTATGCCTGGGACATAGAAAAAAAGAGAGAGTTGGGGCGGCACTTGCAATAGGCTAACAGTCAAAAAAAGAAAAAAGAAAGATAATGAAAAGAATCAGAAAATGTATTAGGAAACAGCAATACCAGATGGTGTGGTTGATACGCTCTCTACCCACTCTACCAATGAGTTTTCCATTGTGTGTTATTTTATGAAAAATCCCAAGAAGAGGCTACTTCGCCTGCCTTATCCCTTTACATTAGGAAAAATATATTAAATTCAAAGTCATAGTTATTTTATTCAATATATAATGAAAAATACTAAATTCCAATTAAACTTCATTCTTTTCCATTTATAAAATTCAAGTAATCATAACGTAAACAAAAGAAAACAAGTAAAAAAGCTAAAGTCGGGTGTCCCGACTTTGAAATACTCTGTACATATGTTTTCAATAATTATAGAAAATAAAAAAAAAAATAAATAAAAAAAAAATTGGATCGATTTTACCTCTCTCGGTATTCGAACTCACGTAAAGGGTGTATAATTGCACATTTACATAGCAATTGCGTCTGTGTGAGTGTATGTATGCCTATGCGCATCAATTCGTGTCTGTGTAAGCATTTTCGCAGTCAACCAAACAGCAACATCAACAACAGCCGCGGGCAGCGCTTGAGCAGCGCTGCAGCAGCAAATATATTTATGGCTATAACTTCTTGGTAAATCGGTCTATCATAGTGAAACTTGGCATACGGACACATAATTACTAACTGGAGGTATTTCCAAAATTTTAGTTCGAAATTCCAAGAATTACGGGAGTTAGAGAAAATCGCATTTGCGGGGGAGAGGGGGGAGGGAGGGAAATTCCAAAATATACATTTTCTGCGTATTCACATAAGGCATCTGGGACTAAAATTTGGTGTTCCTAGGTCTTATAGTCTCCGAGATATAGGCGATTATACGAATGGAAAATCGGGAAAACCCCCATAGGGGGGAAGTGGGGGGGAAAATCAAAAAAATAAAACAAACTCGTATAGAATACACACATAACGCATCTTCGTGCAAAATTTGGTGTCTCTATCTCTTATAGTCTCTGAGATCCAGGTGTTCATACGGACGGACAGACGGACAGACGGACAGACAGACAGACAGGGCTAGATCGACTCGTCTTGTCACGCTGATCAATAATATATATACTTTGTGGGGTCTGCCACGCCTCCTTCTGCCTGTTACATTTTTCAGCTCCCGCAAACCTAATATACTCTTGTACATTTCATGTACAGAGTATAAACATAATCAAACTAAAATTAAAGGTTAAAATTCATCAATAGTACAAAAGAGTTGATAAACCAAAGTTATTCTGCATAAGCAAGAGTAATTCATAATTGCGATATAAGTTTGATTCCTCAAAACAATGAAATATGATATCAGAGTATTCCGGTTTAAAGAAAAAGCAATAATTCATGCATAAATATATCTAGTGATAAGCATAAGTGCATCGAGAGCACAAAGATAAAAACATTAGTATCAGTCGCTAGTAAAACAGTTATACCGATCTGTATCATCATGTAACGTTGTTACTCTGCCGCGGGTATGCTCGCCGGCCAGAGTATGCTGAAATAAATTGGTAAATTAGGCACCCCAAAGTGCCGAGGTGTCCAACAAATAAAAAGAGGGCGGTATGCCAAAACTTCTCCACGTGTCTTTAATTAATCCAAAATAACAAAAATGCAGCTCGCGCTTCAGTGCGTGTTGGGCGAGACCAAAAGAAGAACTAAAAACTAGCTGAACTTAAAATTACTCGCCTTCGTGACTCCCTAATCCTTACAAAATACTTGTTCGCTTACAACTACTCGTAATGACGCGCGGCTGCTCGCTACGCAACGCGTCATTACACGTCCCCCCTTCCTGAGCGGAACACGATCCGGTTGAGGGGGGTGGCTGCCAACGCCACCATCGGGATCCTTCCTTCTTCGGCCATCCGCCGCAAGCCATGCGCCTCCGCCGGTGAAAACATTGCCCAAGCGAGGGGCTTTGTGGAGCCGCCGCACCTCTCCAGCACGACCATCGGCTGCTCGCTCGCTGTGCCATCGGGCTCTCTGCCCCACGCCACAAACACTGGCCAGGGGACCCGCGGCTGTCCACCCGCGACCCCCTATGCAGCCATTGCAGCTCCTGCAGGCATCTGGCGTACGCCAGGCGCGCCTCCACGTCTCGCATGGCCCTTCTCACCCGCTGCTGATCTTCGCGCCGCTCGCCTTGTCGCTGCTCCCGACGCCGCAGCCTCTCATCCCGCTGCTGCTCCTCCAGCCGTAGCCTCTCCTCTCGCCGCTGCTCCTCCAGCCGCGCCTGTTGCGCCCGTTGGCGTCGCTCTCGCTGCTGCTCCTCCAGCCGCGCCTGTTGTACCCGTTGGCGTCGCTCTCGCGCTCGACGGCCCCCGCGGTGCCCACGGCGGCGACGTCGGTTGCCTGCCGGCGTCGGTGATCTTGCTCGGGCGGGTGCCCGGAACTGGAAGTTCCGGAGGTCCCGATCGAATGCCATTTGTTTCTGGAGCCTGCGCCACTCTTCCAGGTCCCCGTAGCCCCTGTCCGCGTCCATGTTTCGTCGGGCCGAAGATTGCAGGGCCGATCTTAAATGCTTCCGATGTAATAAAAGCGGCCACATGTCAAAAGAATGTAAAGCAGAGAGAAGTGTCAACATGGTCTATCAGGCAAAACGCTTAAAGAAGCTTATGGTCAACAACATTGAGGTGCAAGGGCTGGTCGATACGGGCGCTGACGTCACAATATATTTTTCTACTCTACGTGGCTTGGGAAGCAATTCAACGCGACCTCTTGGATTTGTTATTGCCGAAGTTTTGATCGACGACATGAAAGTAGCCCATAAGTTTTTCGTTGTGGCTGACAGGGCCATAGAATGCGATGCACTTCTGGGATACGATTTCGTGAGCAAGTTTGGATTTACATTAACGGAAGCTGGCTACAAGTTTTCTCCCCTTGGGGAGGAAACTGACGAACCAAATCAGATAAGTATATTTAACGTAATCGAAACAAACACTGATCCACATGTACCTTCGCAGTTTAAAGATGCGGTGCAGACAATGATCAAGAGCTATAAACCAGCCGAATACAATATGACTGCTGCAGAAACTGATGTCATGCTGAAAATCGTTCCAGATGAAAACATCATGCCGTTTCAACACTCCCCAAGTCGTATTGCATTTGCTGAAGCTGAAGCAGTAAAAAAACAAATCGATGAGTGGCTCAAGGCAGAAATCATACGACCTTCTTCTTCAAATTTTGCAAGCCGTATCGTCGTTGTGAAGAAAAAGGATGGAAGCAACAGAGTTTGTGTCGATTTTCGCAAGCTTAATCAAATGGTTCTGAAGGACTGTTTTCTGGTTCCCATCATTGATGACGTTTTGGAAAAGCTGCAGAAGGCGCGGTACTTCACTTCAATGGATTTACAGAACGGTTTTTTCCACGTCTTGGTCGAGGAAAACAGCAAGAAGTATACTCCATTTGTTACTAAGGATGGTCTCTATGAATTCAACAGAGCACCTTTTGGCTTTTGTAATTCACCGGCTGTTTTCATACGATTTGTAAACCACGTGTTCCAAGGTTTACTAAGCGAAGATGTGATGGATTTATATATGGACGACATAATAATACACGCAGAGTCGCCGGAAGAGTGTCTCAGCAAGATGAAAAGAGTATTTGACACTGCAGCTGCAAACGCCTTACAAATAAATTGGAGAAAATGCCGTTTTCTGCAAACATCGATTAATTTCCTGGGACACACAGTTGAAGAGGGACGAATTAAGCCGGGCAAGGAGAAGACAGATGCCGTCAGCAAGTTTCCAGTGCCGAAAAATATCAGAGGAGTATAATCATTTCTTGGTCTGACAGGATTTTTTCGCAGATTCATACGGAAGTACTCTCAGATAGCAAAACCGCTCACAGATTTGTTGCGAAAAAGTGTACATTTCAAAATGGGACCTGACGAGTTGCTAGCTTTTCGTAACTTAAAAGAGGCCCTCATAGAAGAACCAATACTGCGACTGTACAACAGAGAGGCAAAAACGGAATTGCATACCGATGCATCGAAGGACGGCTTTGCAGCGGCTTTAATGCAATGGTTTGATGGTCAATTGCACCCTGTTTCATTTTGGAGTAAGAAGTCATCGGATGCAGAGTCTCGCAAGCATAGCTACATACAGGAGGCGAAGGCAATATATCTAGCAGTTAAGAAGTATCGCCATTATTTACTTGGCGTGTCGTTCAAGCTGGTTACGGACTGCGCTGCATTTAAACAGACCCTTAACAAAAACGATGTACCACGAGACGTTGCTCAATGGGTCGTATATTTGCAAGATTTTCAATTCAACGTAGAACACCGTGCAGGAGAGCGACTGAAGCATGTAGACTGTCTTAGCCGCTACCCACTGCAAGTCATGATGGTATCTTCGGAGTTAACAGCACGCATAAGGGCGTCGCAGCAGAAGGATCCTATGGTCAAGGCGATCTATGATATTCTCTCCATCCGTCCCTATGAGAACTTCAAAATAAAAGGCAGTTTGTTATTTAAAGTAGCGAATGGAGTTGATGTACTGGTGGTGCCAAAACTGATGGAAAAGGAGATCATACTGAACGCGCATAACATTGGACATTTTGCTGCACAAAAGACAATGCATACAATCCAGCAGACTTACTGGATCCCTCACCTGGAGAACAAAGTTGCACATGTTATAAATAATTGCGTACAGTGCATTGTGCACAACAAAAAGGTTGGCAAGAAAGAAGGTTTCCTTCATGTTATAGAAAAAGTCGTACTCCCGTTACATCATCATCATCTTGGCCCAATGGACTCCACTGCGAAGCAGTACAAGTATATATTTGCCATGGTGGATGGGTTTACCAAATTCGTATGGTTATACCCGACCAAAACAACAACAAGCGAAGAAGTGGTTAAGAAGCTTAGCGAATGGGCCGCAGTATTCGGAAATCCAATCCGTACAATCACAGCGGACGCATTTAAGCAGTATGCTGATTCAAATACTATCGGCCACGTTTGGAGTACCACAGGAGTTCCCCGCGGAAACGGTCAGATAGAACGAGTAAACCGTTCCGAGCTGGCAATTATATCGAAGTTGTCCTCGGAGCAACCAGCCAAATGGTTCAAATACGTGCCGATAGTCCAAAAATCCATAAACTCCACAGTCCACGTTGCTACTAAAAGATCACCTTTTGAGATAATGTTTGGCGTAAAGATGCACAACTCTGCAGATAACCGAATTGTGGAAATGCTCGAAGAAGAAATGGTTGCTAATTTTGACAACGAAAGGCAATTATTACGACAAGCTGCGAAAAAATTATAAAAAAACAGTACCATAAGAAGCGTAAAAGCGAATACGGATACCATATCGGCGATTTGGTGGCAATCCGTCGTACGCAATTTGTAGCAGGAAGGAAGTTGGCGAGCGAGTACCTTGGCCCATATGAGGTAACAAAAGTTAAAAGAAACGGGCGCTACGAGGTGCGAAAAGCAGCAAATGTTGAAGGACCAATAAGCACGGCCACAAGCTCTGATAACATGAAGCTTTGGAGGTATGCGGTGAACAACGAGGACCCATGGTCATCGGGGACCGATGACTAGTGCAGGATGGCCGAGTGTAAGATAGGCAGATGGGCAGTGGTGATATTGGCAAAGCGCACACAGGAGAATGGCATAGTAGAAGAGGAAGATCGACATCAGTAGTGAGTTGTCAGCCGTCGTCGGAAGGAGTCAGTTGTAAACGGTCGTTTCAAGCAGTCAGTCATCAACCGTCATATAAGCAGTCAGTAGTCAGCCGTCATAAGTAGTCGTGAGAAGTCGTAGTGCCGTTGTACAGCCGTACGCAGTTTTCTTGTATCCACCGTTGTTCGCAACAAATTTATGTAAGGTGAGAACAGATGAGGTTGCATGCCAAATTCTTTAATGTACAGAGGTGTAATGTACACACAATAAGACAAGTATAATGTACAACCATACACATTCTATGGGCTGACGTTGTTGGGGGAGAGGGTCGGTGCGGGATACCTTGACTGCGGCTAGAAAAACAGCCTGTGGGAGGGTTCTTGACCGTACACTCCATCAACACCCATAATACATAATTAATTTATAGAGATCCCTATGCCTGGGACATAGAAAAAAAGAGAGAGTTGGGGCGGCACTTGCAATAGGCTAACAGTCAAAAAAAGAAAAAAGAAAGATAATGAAAAGAATCAGAAAATGTATTAGGAAACAGCAATACCAGATGGTGTGGTTGATACGCTCTCTACCCACTCTACCAATGAGTTTTCCATTGTGTGTTATTTTATGAAAAATCCCAAGAAGAGGCTACTTCGCCTGCCTTATCCCTTTACATTAGGAAAAATATATTAAATTCAAAGTCATAGTTATTTTATTCAATATATAATGAAAAATACTAAATTCCAATTAAACTTCATTCTTTTCCATTTATAAAATTCAAGTAATCATAACGTAAACAAAAGAAAAACATAATCAAACTAAAATTAAAGGTTAAAATTCATCAATAGTACAAAAGAGTTGATAAACCAAAGTTATTCTGCATAAGCAAGAGTAATTCATAATTGCGATATAAGTTTGATTCCTCAAAACAATGAAATATGATATCAGAGTATTCCGGTTTAAAGAAAAAGCAATAATTCATGCATAAATATATCTAGTGATAAGCATAAGTGCATCGAGATCACAAAGATAAAAACATTAGTATCAGTCGCTAGTAAAACAGTTATACCGATCTGTATCATCATGTAACGTTGTTACTCTGCCGCGGGTATGCTCGCCGGCCAGAGTATGCTGAAATAAATTGGTAAATTAGGCACCCCAAAGTGCCGAGGTGTCCAACAAATAAAAAGAGGGCGGTATGCCAAAACTTCTCCACGTGTCTTTAATTAATCCAAAATAATAAAAATGCAGCTCGCGCTTCAGTGCGTGTTGGGCGAGACCAAAAGAAGAACTAAAAACTAGCTGAACTTAAAATTACTCGCCTTCGTGACTCCCTAATCCTTACAAAATACTTGTTCGCTTACAACTACTCGTAATGACGCGCGGCTGCTCGCTACGCAACGCGTCATTACACGTCCCCCCTTCCTGAGCGGAACACGATCCGGTTGAGGGGTGTGGCTGCCAACGCCACCATCGGGATCCTTCCTTCTTCGGCCATCCGCCGCAAGCCATGCGCCTCCGCCGGTGAAAACATTGCCCAAGCGAGGGGCTTTGTGGAGCCGCCGCACCTCTCCAGCACGACCATCGGCTGCTCGCTCGCTGTGCCATCGGGCTCTCTGCCCCACGCCACAAACACTGGCCAGGGGACCCGCGGCTGTCCACCCGCGACCCCCTATGCAGCCATTGCAGCTCCTGCAGGCATCTGGCGTACGCCAGGCGCGCCTCCACGTCTCGCATGGCCCTTCTCACCCGCTGCTGATCTTCGCGCCGCTCGCCTTGTCGCTGCTCCCGACGCCGCAGCCTCTCATCCCGCTGCTGCTCCTCCAGCCGTAGCCTCTCCTCTCGCCGCTGCTCCTCCAGCCGCGCCTGTTGCGCCCGTTGGCGTCGCTCTCGCTGCTGCTCCTCCAGCCGCGCCTGTTGTACCCGTTGGCGTCGCTCTCGCGCTCGACGGCCCCCGCGGTGCCCACGGCGGCGACGTCGGTTGCCTGCCGGCGTCGGTGATCTTGCTCGGGCGGGTGCCCGGAACTGGAAGTTCCGGAGGTCCCGATCGAATGCCATTTGTTTCTGGAGCCTGCGCCACTCTTCCAGGTCCCCGTAGCCCCTGTCCGCGTCCATGTTTCGTCGGGCCGAAGATTGCAGGGCCGATCTTAAATGCTTCCGATGTAATAAAAGCGGCCACATGTCAAAAGAATGTAAAGCAGAGAGAAGTGTCAACATGGTCTATCAGGCAAAACGCTTAAAGAAGCTTATGGTCAACAACATTGAGGTGCAAGGGCTGGTCGATACGGGCGCTGACGTCACAATATATTTTTCTACTCTACGTGGCTTGGGAAGCAATTCAACGCGACCTCTTGGATTTGTTATTGCCGAAGTTTTGATCGACGACATGAAAGTAGCCCATAAGTTTTTCGTTGTGGCTGACAGGGCCATAGAATGCGATGCACTTCTGGGATACGATTTCGTGAGCAAGTTTGGATTTACATTAACGGAAGCTGGCTACAAGTTTTCTCCCCTTGGGGAGGAAACTGACGAACCAAATCAGATAAGTATATTTAACGTAATCGAAACAAACACTGATCCACATGTACCTTCGCAGTTTAAAGATGCGGTGCAGACAATGATCAAGAGCTATAAACCAGCCGAATACAATATGACTGCTGCAGAAACTGATGTCATGCTGAAAATCGTTCCAGATGAAAACATCATGCCGTTTCAACACTCCCCAAGTCGTATTGCATTTGCTGAAGCTGAAGCAGTAAAAAAAACAAATCGATGAGTGGCTCAAGGCAGAAATCATACGACCTTCTTCTTCAAATTTTGCAAGCCGTATCGTCGTTGTGAAGAAAAAGGATGGAAGCAACAGAGTTTGTGTCGATTTTCGCAAGCTTAATCAAATGGTTCTGAAGGACTGTTTTCTGGTTCCCATCATTGATGACGTTTTGGAAAAGCTGCAGAAGGCGCGGTACTTCACTTCAATGGATTTACAGAACGGTTTTTTCCACGTCTTGGTCGAGGAAAACAGCAAGAAGTATACTCCATTTGTTACTAAGGATGGTCTCTATGAATTCAACTGAGCACCTTTTGGCTTTTGTAATTCACCGGCTGTTTTCATACGATTTGTAAACCACGTGTTCCAAGGTTTACTAAGCGAAGATGTGATGGATTTATATATGGACGACATAATAATACACGCAGAGTCGCCGGAAGAGTGTCTCAGCAAGATGAAAAGAGTATTTGACACTGCAGCTGCAAACGCCTTACAAATAAATTGGAGAAAATGCCGTTTTCTGCAAACATCGATTAATTTCCTGGGACACACAGTTGAAGAGGGACGAATTAAGCCGGGCAAGGAGAAGACAGATGCCGTCAGCAAGTTTCCAGTGCCGAAAAATATCAGAGGAGTATAATCATTTCTTGGTCTGACAGGATTTTTTCGCAGATTCATACGGAAGTACTCTCAGATAGCAAAACCGCTCACAGATTTGTTGCGAAAAAGTGTACATTTCAAAATGGGACCTGACGAGTTGCTAGCTTTTCGTAACTTAAAAGAGGCCCTCATAGAAGAACCAATACTGCGACTGTACAACAGAGAGGCAAAAACGGAATTGCATACCGATGCATCGAAGGACGGCTTTGCAGCGGCTTTAATGCAATGGTTTGATGGTCAATTGCACCCTGTTTCATTTTGGAGTAAGAAGTCATCGGATGCAGAGTCTCGCAAGCATAGCTACATACAGGAGGCGAAGGCAATATATCTAGCAGTTAAGAAGTATCGCCATTATTTACTTGGCGTGTCGTTCAAGCTGGTTACGGACTGCGCTGCATTTAAACAGACCCTTAACAAAAACGATGTACCACGAGACGTTGCTCAATGGGTCGTATATTTGCAAGATTTTCAATTCAACGTAGAACACCGTGCAGGAGAGCGACTGAAGCATGTAGACTGTCTTAGCCGCTACCCACTGCAAGTCATGATGGTATCTTCGGAGTTAACAGCACGCATAAGGGCGTCGCAGCAGAAGGATCCTATGATCAAGGCGATCTATGATATTCTCTCCATCCGTCCCTATGAGAACTTCAAAATAAAAGGCAGTTTGTTATTTAAAGTAGCGAATGGAGTTGATGTACTGGTGGTGCCAAAACTGATGGAAAAGGAGATCATACTGAACGCGCATAACATTGGACATTTTGCTGCACAAAAGACAATGCATACAATCCAGCAGACTTACTGGATCCCTCACCTGGAGAACAAAGTTGCACATGTTATAAATAATTGCGTACAGTGCATTGTGCACAACAAAAAGGTTGGCAAGAAAGAAGGTTTCCTTCATGTTATAGAAAAAGTCGTACTCCCGTTACATCATCATCATCTTGGCCCAATGGACTCCACTGCGAAGCAGTACAAGTATATATTTGCCATGGTGGATGGGTTTACCAAATTCGTATGGTTATACCCGACCAAAACAACAACAAGCGAAGAAGTGGTTAAGAAGCTTAGCGAATGGGCCGCAGTATTCGGAAATCCAATCCGTACAATCACAGCGGACGCATTTAAGCAGTATGCTGATTCAAATACTATCGGCCACGTTTGGAGTACCACAGGAGTTCCCCGCGGAAACGGTCAGATAGAACGAGTAAACCGTTCCGAGCTGGCAATTATATCGAAGTTGTCCTCGGAGCAACCAGCCAAATGGTTCAAATACGTGCCGATAGTCCAAAAATCCATAAACTCCACAGTCCACGTTGCTACTAAAAGATCACCTTTTGAGATAATGTTTGGCGTAAAGATGCACAACTCTGCAGATAACCGAATTGTGGAAATGCTCGAAGAAGAAATGGTTGCTAATTTTGACAACGAAAGGCAATTATTACGACAAGCTGCGAAAAAATTATAAAAAACAGTACCATAAGAAGCGTAAAAGCGAATACGGATACCATATCGGCGATTTGGTGGCAATCCGTCGTACGCAATTTGTAGCAGGAAGGAAGTTGGCGAGCGAGTACCTTGGCCCATATGAGGTAACAAAAGTTAAAAGAAACGGGCGCTACGAGGTGCGAAAAGCAGCAAATGTTGAAGGACCAATAAGCACGGCCACAAGCTCTGATAACATGAAGCTTTGGAGGTATGCGGTGAACAACGAGGACCCATGGTCATCGGGGACCGATGACTAGTGCAGGATGGCCGAGTGTAAGATAGGCAGATGGGCAGTGGTGATATTGGCAAAGCGCACACAGGAGAATGGCATAGTAGAAGAGGAAGATCGACATCAGTAGTGAGTTGTCAGCCGTCGTCGGAAGGAGTCAGTTGTAAACGGTCGTTTCAAGCAGTCAGTCATCAACCGTCATATAAGCAGTCAGTAGTCAGCCGTCATAAGTAGTCGTGAGAAGTCGTAGTGCCGTTGTACAGCCGTACGCAGTTTTCTTGTATCCACCGTTGTTCGCAACAAATTTATGTAAGGTGAGAACAGATGAGGTTGCATGCCAAATTCTTTAATGTACAGAGGTGTAATGTACACACAATAAGACAAGTATAATGTACAACCATACACATTCTATGGGCTGACGTTGTTGGGGGAGAGGGTCGGTGCGGGATACCTTGACTGCGGCTAGAAAAACAGCCTGTGGGAGGGTTCTTGACCGTACACTCCATCAACACCCATAATACATAATTAATTTATAGAGATCCCTATGCCTGGGACATAGAAAAAAAGAGAGAGTTGGGGCGGCACTTGCAATAGGCTAACAGTCAAAAAAAGAAAAAAGAAAGATAATGAAAAGAATCAGAAAATGTATTAGGAAACAGCAATACCAGATGGTGTGGTTGATACGCTCTCTACCCACTCTACCAATGAGTTTTCCATTGTGTGTTATTTTATGAAAAATCCCAAGAAGAGGCTACTTCGCCTGCCTTATCCCTTTACATTAGGAAAAATATATTAAATTCAAAGTCATAGTTATTTTATTCAATATATAATGAAAAATACTAAATTCCAATTAAACTTCATTCTTTTCCATTTATAAAATTCAAGTAATCATAACGTAAACAAAAGAAAAACATAATCAAACTAAAATTAAAGGTTAAAATTCATCAATAGTACAAAAGAGTTGATAAACCAAAGTTATTCTGCATAAGCAAGAGTAATTCATAATTGCGATATAAGTTTGATTCCTCAAAACAATGAAATATGATATCAGAGTATTCCGGTTTAAAGAAAAAGCAATAATTCATGCATAAATATATCTAGTGATAAGCATAAGTGCATCGAGATCACAAAGATAAAAACATTAGTATCAGTCGCTAGTAAAACAGTTATACCGATCTGTATCATCATGTAACGTTGTTACTCTGCCGCGGGTATGCTCGCCGGCCAGAGTATGCTGAAATAAATTGGTAAATTAGGCACCCCAAAGTGCCGAGGTGTCCAACAAATAAAAAGAGGGCGGTATGCCAAAACTTCTCCACGTGTCTTTAATTAATCCAAAATAATAAAAATGCAGCTCGCGCTTCAGTGCGTGTTGGGCGAGACCAAAAGAAGAACTAAAAACTAGCTGAACTTAAAATTACTCGCCTTCGTGACTCCCTAATCCTTACAAAATACTTGTTCGCTTACAACTACTCGTAATGACGCGCGGCTGCTCGCTACGCAACGCGTCATTACACGTCCCCCCTTCCTGAGCGGAACACGATCCGGTTGAGGGGTGTGGCTGCCAACGCCACCATCGGGATCCTTCCTTCTTCGGCCATCCGCCGCAAGCCATGCGCCTCCGCCGGTGAAAACATTGCCCAAGCGAGGGGCTTTGTGGAGCCGCCGCACCTCTCCAGCACGACCATCGGCTGCTCGCTCGCTGTGCCATCGGGCTCTCTGCCCCACGCCACAAACACTGGCCAGGGGACCCGCGGCTGTCCACCCGCGACCCCCTATGCAGCCATTGCAGCTCCTGCAGGCATCTGGCGTACGCCAGGCGCGCCTCCACGTCTCGCATGGCCCTTCTCACCCGCTGCTGATCTTCGCGCCGCTCGCCTTGTCGCTGCTCCCGACGCCGCAGCCTCTCATCCCGCTGCTGCTCCTCCAGCCGTAGCCTCTCCTCTCGCCGCTGCTCCTCCAGCCGCGCCTGTTGCGCCCGTTGGCGTCGCTCTCGCTGCTGCTCCTCCAGCCGCGCCTGTTGTACCCGTTGGCGTCGCTCTCGCGCTCGACGGCCCCCGCGGTGCCCACGGCGGCGACGTCGGTTGCCTGCCGGCGTCGGTGATCTTGCTCGGGCGGGTGCCCGGAACTGGAAGTTCCGGAGGTCCCGATCGAATGCCATTTGTTTCTGGAGCCTGCGCCACTCTTCCAGGTCCCCGTAGCCCCTGTCCGCGTCCATGTTTCGTCGGGCCGAAGATTGCAGGGCCGATCTTAAATGCTTCCGATGTAATAAAAGCGGCCACATGTCAAAAGAATGTAAAGCAGAGAGAAGTGTCAACATGGTCTATCAGGCAAAACGCTTAAAGAAGCTTATGGTCAACAACATTGAGGTGCAAGGGCTGGTCGATACGGGCGCTGACGTCACAATATATTTTTCTACTCTACGTGGCTTGGGAAGCAATTCAACGCGACCTCTTGGATTTGTTATTGCCGAAGTTTTGATCGACGACATGAAAGTAGCCCATAAGTTTTTCGTTATGGCTGACAGGGCCATAGAATGCGATGCACTTCTGGGATACGATTTCGTGAGCAAGTTTGGATTTACATTAACGGAAGCTGGCTACAAGTTTTCTCCCCTTGGGGAGGAAACTGACGAACCAAATCAGATAAGTATATTTAACGTAATCGAAACAAACACTGATCCACATGTACCTTCGCAGTTTAAAGATGCGGTGCAGACAATGATCAAGAGCTATAAACCAGCCGAATACAATATGACTGCTGCAGAAACTGATGTCATGCTGAAAATCGTTCCAGATGAAAACATCATGCCGTTTCAACACTCCCCAAGTCGTATTGCATTTGCTGAAGCTGAAGCAGTAAAAAAACAAATCGATGAGTGGCTCAAGGCAGAAATCATACGACCTTCTTCTTCAAATTTTGCAAGCCGTATCGTCGTTGTGAAGAAAAAGGATGGAAGCAACAGAGTTTGTGTCGATTTTCGCAAGCTTAATCAAATGGTTCTGAAGGACTGTTTTCTGGTTCCCATCATTGATGACGTTTTGGAAAAGCTGCAGAAGGCGCGGTACTTCACTTCAATGGATTTACAGAACGGTTTTTTCCACGTCTTGGTCGAGGAAAACAGCAAGAAGTATACTCCATTTGTTACTAAGGATGGTCTCTATGAATTCAACAGAGCACCTTTTGGCTTTTGTAATTCACCGGCTGTTTTCATACGATTTGTAAACCACGTGTTCCAAGGTTTACTAAGCGAAGATGTGATGGATTTATATATGGACGACATAATAATACACGCAGAGTCGCCGGAAGAGTGTCTCAGCAAGATGAAAAGAGTATTTGACACTGCAGCTGCAAACGCCTTACAAATAAATTGGAGAAAATGCCGTTTTCTGCAAACATCGATTAATTTCCTGGGACACACAGTTGAAGAGGGACGAATTAAGCCGGGCAAGGAGAAGACAGATGCCGTCAGCAAGTTTCCAGTGCCGAAAAATATCAGAGGAGTATAATCATTTCTTGGTCTGACAGGATTTTTTCGCAGATTCATACGGAAGTACTCTCAGATAGCAAAACCGCTCACAGATTTGTTGCGAAAAAGTGTACATTTCAAAATGGGACCTGACGAGTTGCTAGCTTTTCGTAACTTAAAAGAGGCCCTCATAGAAGAACCAATACTGCGACTGTACAACAGAGAGGCAAAAACGGAATTGCATACCGATGCATCGAAGGACGGCTTTGCAGCGGCTTTAATGCAATGGTTTGATGGTCAATTGCACCCTGTTTCATTCTGGAGTAAGAAGTCATCGGATGCAGAGTCTCGCAAGCATAGCTACATACAGGAGGCGAAGGCAATATATCTAGCAGTTAAGAAGTATCGCCATTATTTACTTGGCGTGTCGTTCAAGCTGGTTACGGACTGCGCCGCATTTAAACAGACCCTTAACAAAAACGATGTACCACGAGACGTTGCTCAATGGGTCGTATATTTGCAAGATTTTCAATTCAACGTAGAACACCGTGCAGGAGAGCGACTGAAGCATGTAGACTGTCTTAGCCGCTACCGACTGCAAGTCATGATGGTATCTTCGGAGTTAACAGCACGCATAAGGGCGTCGCAGCAGAAGGATCCTATGGTCAAGGCGATCTATGATATTCTCTCCATCCGTCCCTATGAGAACTTCAAAATAAAAGGCAGTTTGTTATTTAAAGTAGCGAATGGAGTTGATGTACTGGTGGTGCCAAAACTGATGGAAAAGGAGATCACCTGGAGATCACCTGGAGAACAAAGTTGCACATGTTATAAATAATTGTGTACAGTGCATTGTGCACAACAAAAAGGTTGGCAAGAAAGAAGGTTTCCTTCATGTTATAGAAAAAGGCGTACTCCCGTTACACACGCTGCACGTGGATCATCTTGGCCCAATGGACTCCACTGCGAAGCAGTTCAAGTATATATTTGCCATGGTGGATGGGTTTACCAAATTCGTATGGTTATACCCGACCAAAACAACAACAAGCGAAGAAGTGGTTAAGAAGCTTAGCGAATGGGCCGCAGTATTCGGAAATCCAATCCGTATTATCAGTGATCGGGGCACAGCATTCACAGCGGACGCATTTAAGCAGTATGCTGATTCAAATACTATCGGCCACGTTTGGAGTACCACAGGAGTTCCCCGCGGAAACGGTCAGATAGAACGAGTAAACCGTTCCGTGCTGGCGATTATATCGAAGTTGTCCTCGGAGCAACCAGCCAAATGGTTCAAATACGTGCCGATAGTCCAAAAATCCATAAACTCCACAGTCCACGTTGCTACTAAAAGATCACCTTTTGAGATAAAGTTTGGCGTAAAGATGCACAACTCTGCAGATAACCGAATTGTGGAAATGCTCGAAGAAGAAATGGTTGCTAATTTTGACAACGAAAGGCAATTATTACGACAAGCTGCGAAAAAATTATAAAAAACAGTACCATAAGAAGCGTAAAAGCGAATACGGATACCATATCGGCGATTTGGTGGCAATCCGTCGTACGCAATTTGTAGCAGGAAGGAAGTTGGCGAGCGAGTACCTTGGCCCATATGAGGTAACAAAAGTTAAAAGAAACGGGCGCTACGAGGTGCGAAAAGCAGCAAATGTTGAAGGACCAATAAGCACGGCCACAAGCTCTGATAACATGAAGCTTTGGAGGTATGCGGTGAACAACGAGGACCCATGGTCATCGGGGACCGATGACTAGTGCAGGATGGCCGAGTGTAAGATAGGCAGATGGGCAGTGGTGATATTGGCAAAGCGCACACAGGAGAATGGCATAGTAGAAGAGGAAGATCGACATCAGTAGTGAGTTGTCAGCCGTCGTCGGAAGGAGTCAGTTGTAAACGGTCGTTTCAAGCAGTCAGTCATCAACCGTCATATAAGCAGTCAGTAGTCAGCCGTCATAAGTAGTCGTGAGAAGTCGTAGTGCCGTTGTACAGCCGTACGCAGTTTTCTTGTATCCACCGTTGTTCGCAACAAATTTATGTAAGGTGAGTGTATAATCATAAGCTTTTTTATGATTCCAAATATGCGAAATTATGTTGGCGAAATAATTGCAAAATAAGCGAAAACGAAATTGTTCAATTTAAAAGAGGTGCACAAATGTTTATTGTGCATAGGTAGCGATCGCCGAGATTTACAAAGTTTATGTTGGTAGACGGAAAGCTAAGCTTCTCCGTACCAGATGCGATAACGAAAAACGAACTTGACTTGCAGAGTTAGCGACAATAACTAGTACATATGTGGCGGCTGCGCAGCAGCCTATGTAAATTTATGGCAAGCAACAAAAGGAAACGTTAAGTGCTCGGCTTGCTATGCAAAGCAAGTGACAAGAAAACGAGCACTTTGCATTGAGTTATTTACGTTACTTATTAACTATGATGTGCTGCTGGTTTTGGCTGTTTTTGGCCGGATGACCAAACATACTCCCCCTGTTGAAGAACCAGGGTCTTCAACAACATCTTGTTTCGGCAGCGGGCATAATTTGCGAACGGCTCGCCGATTGGTTCCAGTGGAAGTCCTCAATTCTGCAACTCTCGACACGCCATCTGCGCCGCTGATGAGGCTGACCACCCTTGCTAATGGCCATTTGAGGGGCGGCAAATTCTCGTCCTTGACCAGAACGACATCATCAATGGAGACTCCAGGCTGCGACACTCGCCATTTTGAGCGCTGTTGAAGAAGCGTCAAGTATTCTTCACGCCAGCGAGCCCAAAATATCTGCTGGTAGTACGTCACGCGCTGCCATCGATCCAGCCGATTCAAATTGAGCTTCGTCAGATCAGGCTCAACGTACGTTGACAGCGGAGCAGCACCAAGAAAATGAGCTGGAGTCAAGACATCGAGATCTGCTGGATGTTCTGAAAGGGATAACAATGGGCGAGAATTAATAATTGCCCCGATATGGCATACAAGCGTGCGCAGTTCATCAAATTCGAGCAGCGATAGTCCGACGGATCTGTAGAAATGATGCTTGGCAGTCTTTACAGCCGCTTCCCATAGACCACCAAAGTGAGGCGAGCGCGGCGGAATGAAACGCCAATCAATACAGTCAGCAAGGCAAAATTCTTGCACAGCCTGCAGGTGCTCGCTGGATTCAAAAAGACGCTTTAGCTCAGCCATCTCGCCAACGAAATTTGTAGCGTTGTCAGACCAGATCCTCGTAGGTCGACAGCGCGTCAAAATAAAGCGTTTAAGTGCATTTAAGAATGCTCCAGTGGTTAAATCCTTCACCAACTCCAAATGCACAGCTTTGGTGGCGAAGCAAATGAAAATGCAAATATAGCATTTTATTGGTGCCTTATTGCGGACCTCGCTTTTGTAGAAAAACGGCCCACAAAAATCCACACCAGTGACCATAAAGGTATGTGAAGCATCAACTCGATCCTTTGGCAGGTCAGCCACAAGACGAGGCTTGGCTCGAAAACAAATGGTGCATTTGCTGACTACGCTGCACACTGTTTTCCGACCGCCAATTGGCCAATACTGCAACCGAATTGAGGCCAGCAATGCACGAGGTCCAGAATGCAGATTACGGACATGGTAGTGCATAATGACTGAACGCGTGACTGGATGACGCCTTGGAAGTATAATTGGATGCTGGGCTTCAAAGTCGAGCGCAGAGTTACTTAGACGGCCACCAACGCGCATCAATCCAGAGCTGTCGAGAAACGGAGATAAAGAAAGACAGGAGCTAGACGATTTCAAAGTGTGTCCGGCCTGCAA